TTTTAAATGTGAATTAAATTTAACCGTCTAATGATTTTTTTTTCTTTTTCTTCCAGATTTAAAAACTTAAGTCTTTGGCAATTTCAACCATGGAAAGATTAACAATCAATCAACAACTTGAGAGAATGTCACAGGTTTTGGTTGAGGCGAAGCAAAAGTATCGACGACTAATAGATTCTGAAGAAGGCCAGTATATATATATATATATATATATATATATATATATATATATATATATATATATATATATATATATCTGTGTATGTGCGTGTATTTGTTGATGTGTGTGTGTGGTCGTTGTATGTGCCTTTCATTGTGTGTATATGTAGTCGTTTTTAGTTTTAAGAGTTGTGGACATATTTCCTGTTTCGTCGCTTTGCGTGTTTATATATCTAAATATGTTCGCGTGTTTTTGGATTATAATCTGATTGTCTTTTGCAAGATTTCATTCTTCTTTGCCCATGTCTTCACTTCAAATGTATTTAAATTGTAACGGAATTCAGAGTAGGATTAGATCTTAACGTTTATTACAACTTAATTTCAATAAAAATAAAATAAACCGAAAAATGTATGTACTTTTTTTCCTCAGTTTCTTCTTTAAATAATTTTATAATTTTAAACTGAATATAGATTAAATTTAAATTTTAAAATTGGTAATTTTGAATTTTATAGTATAATTTAATATATATTAGTTAGAATGAATTCTATTTTAGTCAAACCATAATATTAAAACATTAAGTAATTATTATAACCAAAGTTCGTTGTCAAATTTTTTGAATTCTCATATACTTTATTTTGATTGGTCATTCCAGCTTACGTAACAGCGTTTCCCCTCGCAATGGGTGTTTGATTGATTTGAAACTTTTATAAGGCTTTATTCTACATTCAACACCATCACTTGATAAGACACCATAAGTGTTGAAACAAAATGGCTGATTTCATGACATGTTTATGTTATAATTTTCTAATAAAAATTATATATATATATATATATATATATATATATATATATATATATATATATATATATATATATATATATATATATATATATATATATATATATATATATATATATATATATATATATATATATATATATATATATATATATATATATATATATATATATATATATATATATATATATATATATATATAAATAATATTATGAAATAATAATCCTAAAAATGCAACCAATAATTTTGTGATTATTGTTTATTGAAACATTTGTGTATCTCGTAAGTTTTACCATAATTCGCTGACTTATTTTGTTATGATTTATCAATCTCTTATGCATTTTTAAATACTAAAGATTTTACATTTTAAGAATTATTCTTTTCTTGCGTTTGAATATCGCATTAAATTTATTTGTAAATAAAAAAGATTTTTTTCAAATATGTACAAGTACTAATATTTACCCGAATCTGACAATAATAGTTTCATTCCTTTTCCGATCTTGGATACCACGAACGTGACTGTAATTTGCAGATTTCTTATTCCGTAACGCTGTCCGTTACACCACACGCACATCCAAATCTTTCCATAAGATCTTAAATGTTTAATGTATAACAACAAAAAACCACTAGCAACAAACGAGTAAAAATAGCATTTGTATTTCTCACATATAGAAGTTCCAATGTGAGCATTTTAAGTAATCAATATTTGGGTATTTAATTTAATATTTAAATTAACAAAGCGCTATAAAACCGAATCTATAATTGAAAATTATTCTCCTTTGTTTTCCTATATGTTGGTAGCGTAAACGTTTATAGCACGGAAAGTGGAATTGACAATCCGAGTTCAAGTCAGACTCCGGCCGAATTAGTTGCGTACACTTTAACACAATTATCCTTCGGAAAGAATGGCATAAACTCATTTCTTTTCTTAACTAGCAGAAGAAACTCGTTAAATCTGGGTGGCATCCAGTCAAAGAGAATGAGTACTCAGAATTTTAAACCATGAAAACCGTGGAAAACACTGCACTATCTTCTCATCTTTTTTATCCTGTACAAGGCCCAAGAGCAACTCGAGGCAGAGAAAGAGACACAGTTTATGGGGATTCCTATAACAATAATTGCAATTAACAGTTAATAAAGAACATATATAAACATTAAGAAAGACAGTGCATATAGCAATATGTTGATTAATTTATTTCTGAATTACTGGGATGAGAAGTTATCATTATATAAATTATTTACATATGGATATTGTCTTCATCTTTGTTGTTCTTATCACTACGATTTGGCTGTTATACCCTCCGGCCTTCATCAGGTGTACGACGTTCCAGATAACCGGCAAGGAATTACGAACTGAAGCATTCATTTATCCACGTGGCTAGACTGTTCTCATTCCATTACCAATATTTCGGGATTTCAGGATATCCCATCTTGTTCTTATTTTAGTTTTGCTCAGTTATTGCTCTCTCTTTTTCTAATGAGTCCAAGTACACATTGCCCAACCCAAGGATTGAATTCACAATAATTATATCTTCAAATGCACGAACAAAAATTTTAATCCACTATGATATTATTTCTTGGAGTCAGCCGTGAGCAATAACTGAACAGTACTGAAATGAATGGGATAAAAATGATCTTGATTAACAAATTCAACATTCGCTATCAAGTGTTCCAAGAAATTGGACTCAAGATAAAACTTTCCAAGAAAAGAAAAGAATCATCTGCAATTACAATGAATGCAGTCAAGGCGCATGCTCTGAATCCGTCATAAAATTTAGGATACCGAATTAGTAAATACTAAATACTTAAAGTAAATTTAGTATAAGATGTAAGGAAATTGAAAATAGTATAGACAGCACTATTAGTATTTTCGGTCCACACTGCAAATGGATTCAAGGTTAATCCTATTTAGTCTTGTCAAGAGAGACTTTCATATGGATGCTATAAATGGCGCCAAATTCATTCAGAAATATCTAAACTGCCAGTTACATACAACGTCTTTCTCAGATCAATGGTTAAAAATGGTGAATTCCGATTTTAGCACTTAGCGAGGACTATCCTTCTTTATACCTTGTAGACGACAGAATAACAAACAATGCTTAAACATTTCAAACCTCATCAGGAGTACGACAAGGAGGAAATGAGAACACCAATCATTTTAATCTGTGCATATATAAGCACAGATATGAAGAAATGAGCCACTAATCATTTAAGCGTTTTCATACCAAATTCCAAACGCAGCTGCTAAAAGAAAACCGCATTTCCTTTCCTCATGAGGTCAATGTACTGAAGATGAGTAGGGAGATAAGTCGATGACATAGGTATTTATAGTTGGCATACGAATCTTGAACAAAAAAAAAATCAACATTCTCTACCAAGTGGACAAAGAAATAAGACTTAAGATAAATTGTTCCAATACAAAAACTAGGATCTGGAATGTGTATGAAAATAGTGATGGATCCAGCATAAAACTCAGGATGTGGAATTATAGTAAATACTAAATATTTCAAGTATCTCGATGTATGGAACCGCTATTACACATTTAGGGTAAGGGATAATGAAAGTGAACATAGTATAAGCTGCATTATGTGTAGTTTCGCCCAATACTGCAAATTGGTACAAAACCAAAGATTAATCTGAAAATTCACGCTATGTTCTGAAATAACCTCATTAATTCGAAACTTTCATATGCATGTCATGCCTGGCGTCATACTCGTCTAAAAATATATAATATCTGTAAACCGGATAAAATAGCTTTCTCAGCTCAATGGTTAGAGCGCATGGTTAGAATTAGCTTTGAATATTGTGGACTGGAGCTACAAAATCATAAAAACAGCAATGTACCAAATAACAGAAATCGCATCATGGGAAAACTTTCAACAGCATCAAGTACTTTAATGGATATCACGGGTAATTTGAAGATAGAATAATCACATAAGAAATAGGTTGATGTGGCACACAATTTAAAACAAATGATTAGGCAGGAAATACTCATCAATCCTGGAAAGAGCAATAACAGTTAATGGACTTGAGAAACTTATTTACCTGAAAAATTATTTTAACAGAAATATTTTAAAAATTTCAGTCGAATCGAATCCGGTGCTCGGTTAATGAATGCAAAAAAGTAACTTTATAAGGAAGCGGCTAATATTATCCTGTTGCTTGTATCCAGTCTAATGGTGTTTAACACTAGATTATTTCAAATGCTGAACGAGACACTTTCATGCAATAAAGAAACCTATAAGAAGATTTCATATACACCACCAAGAAGAGAAATTTGAAATGGCATGTGTAGATTATAAGAGTCAATAAACTTTCTATTGTTATCTTAAAAAATGATATCTTAGGTAAAAGAAGAAGAGGCAGACAAAATAAAAAGGTGTTTGGACTGGAAGATCATTCCCAAAATCTCAGGCATTGATACGCCACGGAAACATATTGAGGAAGCTGGTCAGGTGTTCAGCTATGCAGGGACCTTACGACCAATCCCAGTCATAGGACTGACGATGCTGCTGCTGCTGATGATGATGATCAGAAATATTGCGCCCTGAAAGGATTTGGCTTTTATAAATTTTTCGCCATATTATTTGGACAGGCTTCGTTTACAACCCCGCACGGTATTCCTCGATTTCTACCATATTCTTCTTGTCATGTTAATTTTAACTCCTTATCAAAATCACGGATTTGGAATTACATTGTGAATAATAACATGACATTACTTCGGGACTTGTCGAAAATACATAGAAAATAATAAAAAAGAACTGTAAAAAGAAAAAAAAATGAAAAAAATCTACCAATTCAATGATACTCAGATAGAATTATTACTTTATGAGATTGACAGTGTGATGTTTTGTGTCCAATATAAGAGATGTGTCATCATCATTATTGTCATCGTAATTATTCTTTCTTGTTTTCTTTTCAATTTGACACTAATTGTTGATAGATCAGTGAAATCATTTTCCGCCCACCACAATAACAAGCAAATGAAATTTCGATTACATTTCGGATTTGGCGGGAAGTGTGAGTTAGGTGAATAGGGAAATGGTACGGGTCGAAGGAAGATTGCTTCTTGAAGACATTTTCTCAGTTGGTTTCTGTCTTTTTTTTGTCAGAAATAACGGTGATTATTGGCCGGAAAACATTAGTTGGCGACGAAAGATATTTTCATTGTTTTATCATCTTGTTTCATTTTTCTTCTAAATCGTGTTTACATATTTTTATTATTTTTTCCTCGACCTCCATTTTTATTTTGGCTGATATAATAACATCATAATTTGTTTTTATTGTTTCTATCAGTTTTGTTCTTTTCTTCGACTCTTGATTCGTTCTTTTCTTTTTATTTCATTCGATTCATTTTTCTTTCTTTAGTTAATTCTAATTGTTTTCTTTCATTCATTCTTTTCTTTACACATCGCTTTGTCGAGTTCATATTTATTGATTTCTTTTTATATCTTCCATTCTCTCTTTTATATTCTTGTCACTTTTCTTTCTTTTATGATTGTTTTTTATTCTTTTACATACGTAATGCCTTTTCTCTTTCATTATTTTCAGTTTTATTTTTATAGCTATTCTTATTATCTTTGATTTCTTTCTTTCTTCTGTCATTCATCTAATTTTCATTCTTCACATACTTCTTATTCAGTTCATAATTTCTTTCATTCTTTTCAATTACCTTTCCGACATTTTTATTCTTTCATATTGTTTCTCGATTTTATTAATAGTTAAATTTTTTAATGTCTTATTCATTAATATATTTCGTTCATTCTTTTAATTATTTCATTCACTATTTCTTTCATTCAGTACTTTCATTTCCTTTCATGCATATCTCATTATTTCTTTATTTTTGTTCTTCTTTTCCTTAATTCAAGTTTATTTCATGTCCTCGTTATATTAATTTTCTTCCATCTTGCATTTTTCATCCACGCTGTTTTAATTCATCTGGCTATAATTGAAAGAGACAATCACGAATCACGAAGAATCCTACACTAAATCGAGTTTTAAGAAGAAAGTTTAATTCTTTCTACCATTCTATGTATTCCTTCAGCTCTTCCTATTTTAATCACGTTCCTTTGACTTTTTTTTACCATTTATACAATTCTTATCTCATTCGCGTTTCCACTAGTAAATCATTTATATCTTGCTCTTTCTTCCAGTTTCCAATATCACTAAACTTTATATTAGTTTGGCACAAGGCCACACATTCAAAACACATCATTTTCGTTACACATACAGCTGGCCTAATTTATCAGTGAGTTATGTGCCATGCGTGATACACGCTTAGCCGATCATGTATCTTTCGATACATGACTGACGTGGCAGAATTTTCCGCAGCAGGTTGACATTTTTTCTGCGGTCGACCAGTTGACATCCAAGGCTCTAGAACCCGGTCTGTCCTGCTATTTAAACATAGTTGACGGGAAGAAGAAGATTCATACATTTCCCAAGAGTATTAGCACCTAAGTGAATATATTGGATTCGACTGGAATTCGAACTCGGCTCTTATACATTTCCAAAATTCCAATCTTCACATTTTTTTTCTTGTTCAGTCCCCTTCTACTCAACTATTTTAACGCCCGGTGTTTATTTTCCGCCAACTTGAAAACTTACGCTTGGTTCATGATTCTTCGAATGCTCTTGCTTGTCTATATATGTTTCTCCCTTCCTTAATCAACTGATGTGTCCGACTACGCCGTCTTCATCACATGGCCATCCCGCTCTCTTTCAGATGGAATTGATTTAAACATCATTCCAATCACTGGTTTCACGTCCGACTGTTTATTTGAACGGAAAGCGACCAATTTGCATCTCGTAACTTCCGAATTACAGCTCCCACCAAAAACAAAACACAGACACACGCTTATTGACCATTTACCCGACAAGATTACAGCACGATTACGAACACTAATGGATTCCATTTCTGTCTGATTTCAAGACCTCATTCCATTTTTCCATTATATATATATATATATATTATTATTATTATTATTATTATTATTATTGCTTAGCTTAGCGAACAAATATATTCTTGATATAAATAAATTGTATATTTATATGTAAGCATTTCATACATACACACACACACACACAGACACACAGACACACACGCATATATATATATATATATATATATATATATATATATATATATATATATATATATATATATATATATATATACCATATAAACATACCACTATATAAACATTTTGAAGATTTGAAGATAGATAGATAGATAGATAGATAGATAGATAGTGTGAGAGAGAGATATATAAGCGATATATTTCAGCATCACAACAACCACCAACACCAACACTACCACTAACAGCAACAAAAACATTAATAATGTTAATAATTGAATGTGCCCAAATATATATATATATATATATATATATATATATATATATATATGAATAAATTTTATGAACATGTTTTAAATTTTATCATATACATGAATGCGTACTCAGAAATGAGTGCACATATTATCGGAATGTCTTGTAAGAAAAAATAAACGAGCATCGCTTTTAAATATTAAAGTGATTGGTCAAGACAAAGATAAAAATATACAGAAAGCATAAAGGCATTTGTTAAATCCATGATTTGTTCACTTATATATATATATATATATATATATATATACGCGGTGATTGTAAATTTTCTTAAATACAGCATGGGATTTTGAAAACCACATTATACCTAAATCACACCAATGTTACTGCCACTTCCAATTATTTGAATATCCGACAAGGCATCTTCCAGGAGACTCCCTATCGCCTCTTCTGTTCTTTTTTTCCTTAATCCCACTTTAATATGAATCCACCAGGAAAAAAAACTATAGATATAAAGTCTAAAACAATGTGTTTAATCGCCTATTCTACATGGATGATATCAAAAAATGGCAAAGACAACAATGAGTTGAAGGCTTTCCAGATATTAGTAATGACATCAGTATGGAATTCGAATAAGATATATGTGCAAAAGTACGTTTAAAGAAAGGGAGAATTACAGAAACACTCTCAATAGATTTAGATTTTGTCACAAGGATTAAGGAACTGGGACAAGAAGAAAGCTATAAATACCTAAGAGTCAGCAAAGAAGATGGAATACAGCAAACACGAATGAAGGAGACAGTAAGAAAATAATAATAAATTCGTGTGCTTCTGGTGTTCAATATCGAGTTGAATTCTCAAAACAGAATATCAGCCGTAATTACTTTGGCTGTCCTTGTGGTTTTATGTAGTTGCAACATCATCGATTGGACAATAACCGACATTAAGTGAATAGATATTAAAACGAAACTGCTTCTCACTTGCCATCGCCCAAATCCTCCTAATGTTGATCCTTTTTGTCCCAATCCGAAGGAGGCAGATGTTTAGTTCAACGATAACTGCCTTATAAAACTACACCGATCGGCCTTCAGAGATACCTTGAAACTACAGAAGACTGGATGATGATCTGTATCAAAGAACATGAAAGAAAAAAGAAATTTTATTCAGTATTAAAGGAAGCCGACATATTCGAATGGGAATTTCAAGTGAGTGAAGAAGTGCAAATAAATCATCATACACTTACGACAGCAGCAAAGAACCTAAAAAGAAAGAGAAAGCACATACAATGTACCAAACGCAGAAACGATGACATGATAACCCTTTTTATGGTCAATATTCTACCTGTACCAAACAAGCTAATGCAAACGAACCGCGTACCCATCAATGATTACGTAGTGATGGGTTAAAAGCTGAAACCGAAGGTTTTATTCCTTCTGCATAGGACCAAGTTTGCTAATAAGAATTTACCAAGCGCTCACAATGAAAAAGTCTGTTGATCCAAAGTAAAGATTCTGTGATAAATATACTGAAACAATTAACAATCTTGTATCAGGGCACTGTATTAGCACCGACTGACACCACCAACACTTGAACATTTGATAATACATTCTATAAATCAAATTCTGACCATAAAATCAGAATGCCGAAGTAGAAATCAAGACTTATCAGATCAGGAAATGTTTTCCAAACTTCTAATTTTCTTGATCTTCTTATCTGACAGAAGTAGCAGAAAGCGTAATCTTTCACTGCGGTAGCCTAACTGCTTCAAGGTTCAACGTGTTGCATGTTCAGAGATGCTCATTTGTATATGTACATTATAAAGTATGGTTATTAAAGTTACGGTTGCTTTTTATCAGCTTCAGGAACTCTCCACCGTCCTCTTTTATCAACAAATTATTTTCGTCCACATAAATATTTTACTCTTTTTTACCATTCTCTGTAAAACCAATATATGTTTGTGTGCGAATATCATAGTAGATCAGCATTTAAAAAAAAATATTCTCAGGGTCTCGCATCGAGCACAAACGATCCTTCTGCGTTTAAATTGCTGTTGTCCAATGTCAATGCATGAAATGAAATGTAGCATGTCGGCATGACCGTGTTTCCATAACTATATCCATTATATTGCAGCCACGTTATTTTCTGATTAGAAATCTGCATATAAATCACACCTCCACATGTAATTAATTAGGTGATTATTGAATCTATCTATCTATCTATCTATCTATCTATCTATCTATCTATCTATCTATCACAGTCTCCGTTCAAATCCATCTATATATATATATATATATATATATATATATATATATATATATATATATATATATATATATGGTATCAAAATACTTTTACAAATTTTGTGGGTTGGTCCTCACACCAAGACATTGACAAATGTTCATAAACACATATCTTTGCAAATCCTTTGCTTTTGAGTTAAGTTTGAAACAATTTAGCGGAGATGGCGATGAGTTTCCATGTAAACTAAGTTACATTTCTTATTCCTGTACATCTGTATAACGTATAAATATAGGTGTGGACCAAATTGATATTATTTTCTGTCCTGTAACAGAAAGTAGTGTTTCGTCAATGAATTCTTCATTACTTTCCGAAGTTTGTTTTAAATTTTGTACAGTATAATAGCAATATATTTGAAAGTCAGCTTAAACATGGCTGAACTTAAAGTTGATGGATTTCTCTCTAAACCTGACGCAGATAATTTTGGGAAGTTATGAATATACGATGTTGGTTTTCGTGTCCTTCCTAGTTTGTCGGGGTCGATCGGCAGTTACAATGTCCCTGCGTTGTATCACATAATGATTGTATGATTGGCAACTTTATTAGGTTTCTTTACATTGCATTATTCTAGGGGTGACTGGCGAGAGGCGTTTTTACCCTCTCCTTTTACTGGGTCTTTTAGTTCTCCCATTAGATTTGTAATGTCTCGGTGCTTGGTTTCTGCTTACGCCTGAAGTTTCACATCCATGAAGACGTTCTTCAGATTGATTTCTGGGTAACGTAACCATTCTATTCCAGTTTTAGTTCTTATAATAATGGACTACACGACCATATTTACGAAAGATAACCGTTGAAATCTTCATAGGACTGGATGCGCGGCCTAATATCAAGGATAGGTTCCACTGCGACAGAAACCCGCCAAACGAGAACCCTGTCTTCCAATTGATGTGTTTTTCTGTGGTTTCCTTCATGGCATGCCCTTTGTCTTCAAAGTCTCTCGCCCCGGGGATGATGGTAAATGATTGGCAGAGTACCGGAGAAAATTGATAACACCCTCTACGGTCATTCCTCATATGCCATTCATATTTGTGGTGATGTTAATATATACCACAGGAAGTGGCTAGAACCGACGAAGAAGAGAAATATTCTTTTGATTTTTCCATAGCTTACGAGCTCATCCAGATTGTGGATAAGCCTACGCTTGTTCCCAATTACAGCTGGATGCCATGCTAACCTTTAGGGCATCTTTCGCTCCTCCTAAACTTATCAATATTCCGCTGTGGTGTTAACTCTCTTGGCCAACACAGGCCAATCATTGATTTATGTCATTGTATATCCCAAACCAAAGGTATCTTCAGTTGTCCCATTCTATAGGACAATCTACCAATACACGAAAGCAGGCTGGGATAGCTTCAAATCTTAAACTGTAGAAGCAGCTCTCTCAGCTTTGTTAAAAAAAAACAAAAAAAAAAACTCATTTCCGAGCTGATTTTGTTCAGCATAGAAATTCTATCCCCACGAAACTTTCCAACAAAAGCTAAATTTCCAGCTTGAATGTACTGCGGCCATAGACTACCGCAACCACAATTATTCTTTCTAGAAGAGGGATCGATGTAATAGAATGCTAACATCATTCAGAACTGCCTGCAAATAATGCAAGAGAATACTGAAAAATGCAAAGTTCAGCTATGCACAGGCAATCAATGCCAAAATATAATACGGAAAACTTGGATATCGTGTGTTCTGGAAAATCGAATCCGCAATTTTCAATATAAGCAAACTGTCAGTAGCCTCCATTATAAATGGGCCTGGTGTTATCCTCGTAAGTTAAAAAGCTAAGCTATTGGCAATTAACTTTGCCTCTATCTCTACGATAGACGACATGGGCATTTCATAACCTGACATCCCCCACTTCATGGAGTTGAGTGATATTGCTATCTTAGCTCTGGATGTTTCCAAACTTATCAAAAGCCTTGACACTACGAAGGATAATGGTTTGAATAAGATCCCTGTAGTTTTTTCTCAAAAATATTGACCTAGAACTCTCGCCAATCTTGGCAAAGGTGTTTAATTGTTGCGTGAAGTAGAAAATCTTCCTAAACCCTCAGCTTTGAAACATCGGTTCCATCATGATCGCTTAAATTAAGCAAAATGGAGCCTGATCACTATCTTGATGGGTGACCGCTTGGGTATACCAGGTGATGTAATCTTGTATATACTCGTGGTGTAATGGATAATGGATCGGAATTTTTAATCGGAAATTCGAGTTTCAACTCCAGTTGGTTTGGTTATATTCATTAAGCGTAAATACCTTTGAGAAAGGTCTGAATTCATTTCTTCACCCCCAGCTATGGGTTAATTATTAGGACTTGCATCACTAAATCATATTTACCTAAAAAAATCTTACAATGTAAAAATATTGTTTTCCTTTAAATAAGCTGCAAAGGACTGACACACTATAGAAAAGGAATCAATTGAACCTTTGAAAATGTCTTGTGTTTTCTTTGTGTACAAGAAAGCAGATGAACCATAGTACTTGTCATGATATTGTCCTATCACCCATGTTAGTGCCATTGGCACACTGCCTGTGGTGTAATACTGTTTCAACATCATTAACTGGACAATAAATGACATTAATCGAATGGCCATCAAAACGAGAAAGCTTCTTACTACCACCCGCATCATCCTAATGTTTATGTTGATCGGTTGTGTGCATGCAGATCCGAAGGATGCAGAGGATTAGTTCAACGATAATTGTCTTGCAAAACCACAACAATAGGTCTTCAAAGATACAAGGAAACAACAGAAAACTTGATGATGATTTGTATCAAAGAACATGAAAGAAATAAGAAACTTTATTCCTCATTAGAGGAAGCCAACAAATTAAAATAGGAATTTCAAATGGATGAAGAAGTGCAAATAAACCACAATAGACACCCCTACTGAAGCGGCATTAACCTAAAAAAAGGAGAGCAAATGCAAATGCAAGGTACCGTGTGCTAGATTATTTTCTTTTTATGATGACAGCATTCTTATTAAGGGGATAGATTTTTACAAGTGTACGGCGTTTCCACTTGAAATTGTCTTTTTGGCGGGTGGGCGTCGGTGTCTGGACCTGGGACAAATTGTTGTTGCCATTTGAGAAAATTACCCACTGCAGTTATATTTCAAGCTGATCTAATCATGCCAAAAAAAACTTTTGAACAAGTTTATGATCAAGTTGATGAAAGTTTCCTGAATTGTATCTCACTTCTGCTATTACCAAAGGTATGAAGAAGAAACTTACTCAGAATTCTAAAGAACCTCTTCGTTCGAAGTAATGGATAACGGCTCGAATTAAGGAATCGAAGAGACAAGTTCGAATTCCAGTCGGATCCATTACATTTATTTAGATGCTAATATCCTCGGGAAAGGTATGAATCCTCATCCTCTTCCCGCCCCCAGCTATAAGTAAATAACAGTACAGGCTGGGTTCTAAAGCCTTGGGTAGTAACCAGTCTAGGGAAAAGTAACTGTGATTTCAAAACTCTATGTAACCCTGGCGGGGCACACGTTATCACATCTAAAGAAAAGGTCGTTCGCGATGATCCCGATTACGATCGACATATAGACTGTATAATGACCTAAGTGATCCTTCGAAATTGGATATTTTTTTATGAGAATTTAATCTGATATGTTAAAATCGCAACTAACTGTTGAGAAACACAAAAATCCTAAAATTTCAAGCCTGTTCCAGTGGACTGCAAGTGAAAATGTAACTACATAGGAATATATTATTTATTTTTCCAGTAACAACTTTATACAATGCGAGAGTGGCGGCTAAACGATGCGACTGTTTATGATGAGTGGTCAGTAAAGTTTATATTTTGAATATGACACTTGACTCAGCATTATCTGGAAACCTAGGAGTGAATAAAAATTGCAGCAGAATTGTAAATTAGTTTTATTGACCGAATCTGTGAAAAGATGCCCCAAAATTCTTCAAGTCATATCCTATCTGTCAGATTGTGGGAAAAACAAATAAAGAAAAACTTCTTAATGTTAAGTTTAATGTCATTTTTGACTTTCCTAGACTGCAAAAGACGAATCAACTAATTAGTTTTCTTGGTATGACTGGCCACTGTAGAAAGTTTTTCTCTAAATTTCTCTTCTGCCAGTGAACCTTTGGACCAATTGCTGGGAGGAAAGGTTAAATTAATTCGGTCAGAGGAATGAGAAGAGAAATTCTATAGGCTATAATCCGTTTAGAAAATTGCGCCAATATTATCTACATGAGATTCTAATTCAAACTGGTTGTCGACGCCAGTGAGTTTGATGCCGGGACAGTTCTGTTTTAAATTGTTCACGAACATTTAGCAAATATCAATTTTTCTATAATTGAAAAATAATCTGTATCTCTCTGATTCTATATAAGCAGAGGATTGATCTTAAAGCCTTGTGGTAAAAAGTGAGAAGGCTGGACGTGGTACACATTAGATACGACACCAAAGACCATCGAAAGCGATAGGAATTTTTGTCCATAACAGAGACTTCAATGGGATGGCGTACAGACATATATCAATCCATCTGTTCATTCTTTGATTCTGGACAAAATTGTTCTCAGTTGGTTAAAACCAGAGCATGTTTTTTGACTCAGTTTAGTTAACGCTTCGATCGGATCCATGGTTCTCCCAGGTAATACTGAACAGAAATTGCCCTCATAACTTAGGATTTTTATCTGCTATATTCGTGCATTACATATCTGATATTGGACTCCGTCATATAGAGCTGTATTGACAATGGGCGTCATTGATTTTCCGACGTTCTCGTCTATGATATCTTGAACATACTGCACGAACCTGCCATTCCTGAGAATTTTTGATCATCAAGATATTCTTCCTTTTGGCTACTGGAAACGCATTCATATCAAAGTAGTGTAGCTCTTTTATTAGATTAAACAGGAAATACCTGGTGACGTTTAACAAGTCTGCATTCTCCCAATATGCGTGGTTGGTCACCAAAGAAACGACAGCGGCATGCCTTTT